CGACCAAAGTATACAGTCACCGTATTGTTACGGTAGTAGTTACGATGAACTTTTACGGTTACTGTGTACGGTTGTCGTAATATGCTGTAAATCATCGTTTACAGCTGCTGTTTACGACGAGCGTAAAAAGTTACCGTTTTTTGACGTATTTAGTTGGTGAACGGCCGTTTGCTGCCGCGCGTCATTGACCTGGGGAAGTAAATAATCCAGTGGTCTCTTTCGACTATGTACCATGGTAAGAGTCTCTCTGCACCGGTTGGTTATCATTGGCTTAAAGCAGAGAAAAGAAAGTGTTATCCTTGGTCGGCGAGTAGTATACTCTGACTTACATCCTATTCAAGCCTTCTGGATTCTAATTAGAAGAAAGCAGTCCACAAAATAGTGGTGTCCAGTGACTATTATATAGCTTTTTTTCTCAGTTCGAACGTTGTTTTTTATTATAGAAGAAATAATAGTCTGTTTGCAAAAGTTGTTGTTTTTATATACTACAGCTATTTCGTTGCAAAGATTGTTTGTTTCAGACTTCCCTTAATTAATCGTGTTGATCCATAATTCATGCTCAATTGAGCAATACATAGTTGCCAGGTTTAGGATAGTTAGTCTGTGCGATAAATAGAGATTGACGAAAAAGGTCAATTGGTTGTTGCACACGTTTTCGCGAAAGATAAACATTCATTTTCTATTTCACAGCCGATATCGTTCGATCACTCTGGACGTAGGAATGCACTATCAACAGACGTGATCGTCTATGAAACACGTTGCTTAATTATGGAAATGGAACAGCACGTGAGGTCGATGATATGAAAGAGACACTAGTAAAGCAGGGTGTGAGTGGGTTCCGACGTGGATCCATGTATGGTTGCAGGGAGTGTGTGAGTATCAGAGGTGAGTATTGATATCAGTCGTCGCTTCACCCTTACCTTCACACCCCATACCGCACTCTTAACAGGATCCCTTAGTTACATCTGAAACATTTTCGATATTTTGTAGGAGAACATATCTCTTCGCCATTTTTTTTCTACATATTGTTTTTCGCTCTTTCCTTCGCTATCTTTTGTTTCAGTCATATTGATAATATAACATTCATTCATTGTCTATTTAATTAAACGATTAGAGACCATTGAAAAATACGTTGTTTTCAGTGACGATGTCAGTCAAACAGCAGCAGCAACTATAAATATATAATTGTTCATACATTTATGGGCTAAGAAAAATAAATCTACATACAGATAAGCATGGAATATTCATATGTTGAATTGAATGATTTATTCAATGAAATTATTACGATTATCTTCAACAAACTGAACAATATCGCAGTACAATACTCCTTCATGAGTGTCAATAACCGATTAGATAAAATTGTACATGATTCAATTTTTACGAGTAGTTTAACATTATTGAAATATATATCATATAATGCTACATATTCATTACCTGGTCCAACGCTAGATTACTTTTGTTTAAAAGTCTTACCTAGAATTCACCATAAAATCAAATGGCTTAATCTTAAAGCATTATCTATGAAAAAAACAAACTACTTCTTTTACATTTTTATAGTATTTTTAAACTTTCTGCGTCTCTGTTGATTGCTTGAGTTGAGAAAAGCGTCAAAAGCTGCAGAAAATAGTTCTCTACAAAATGGACTATGTCAGTGGTCATTATAATGAGTTTTAGTAAACATTGTTCACTGCTGGCGTCCCACAAAAAAAAGAATCTAGTTTTTGAAAGCCTTTGAAGTTCTACATCTTTTAATGTTTTACTCAAAGGAACAAAACGACGTGCACAGTTTTATTCGGGACTATAATTGGTGAACTTTAATAGTTCTCAATAACAATTTTTAATTGGGCGCATTTTAGTTCATTTTTTGAGCATAATAAATAGCATATTCGAACTTAGCGCAAACAAAAACTACATTAGAGGGGTGTGGGTGTGTGTGGGTGTGGATGTCGGTGTGGGTGTGGGTGGCTGTGGGTGTTGGTGTGGGTGTGGCTGTAAGCCTAGGTGAAGAAAAGTTAAACACACCCCCATACTCACACCCCACACCTACACCCACCAACAATGTTGTCAATGTGTTCGTTTTATACTGTTTATCATGAGAGACTTGCTTACCTGTAAAAATGAGTCATCGCGCTCGATTGCATCGTATCATTATCATCATGACAATGGCAAAAAATAATAAAATGTCTAAGTGAAAAGATAACATGACGTAGTATGCCAATAAATATACACACCTGTACGGCTAAGAGAATGAATATGATAGGCAAATACGAGAGGCAATGTATCCCATGTCGCCGATTTTTCATCAAAACCGTCGGTTACCGGTGGTTCATAAGAAAGCCGTCGGTTCCAAGCGGTTTCTGTTTGTTTATCGATTTTTTAATGATTTTCCTTTTAAATCAATATTTTTGGTTCAGAAAAAATCGATTCCAACCAAAAAAGTCTAGATAATTATTCAACAGTGAAATACTGTCAGATGACACTACTGATTTTTGTATTGGTTAAGTTATCTTGCAAATGAGTATTTTCATGGCGCCATCTTTAATAAAAATCTAAACTCGAAAACCAAGCAAATATAGGAGATGTGGCTGGTGCCAGCGGCTTCAGCGAGCTTGCGTATACAAGGGGGCAACGATTTAAACATAATTCTAACTCTTTTGTAAGTTTTAAAATATTCACCTTTTGTGATACGAAAAAATGTTTAGCTGGAGAACCACGGTTAACCGTCGGTTTTCTGGCGGTTCGAGCGACATGGGATGTCCCGATCGGACATCGAATCCAGCATCATTGGAATTTCAGTCCAACGCTCTCACCATACACTGCCCTTCTAGGTGAATGGGTTTTTAAATATCCGATTCTAACAAACAGTATCTCTACTTGAACGAGAACTAGTACTGCTGATGTCTTTTTCTAGCTCTGATGAAAAGGAGGACGTACACGGCTGTATGTGTTGCAGAGTAGGATGATGCAAAATGTTCAGAGGACCGATTTACAACAATGATGTTTGTTGTTTCCCATTTCTCTCTTTCGGCTACGTCGTGTGATGCTCGCGGCGCAGTGCAACCACTCTCTTCCATTTTTTCTCAAGTCGATAATGTGCATTAGAAAATAAGAAATTCTAGTAACGCAAATGCGACTCGTGTGAAATCTTAAGGATTCAAAAGCAGGGAGGATGTAGTATCTCCTTCATGTTCATCGAGTCACTAGACTTGAAACAAAAAGACGGAAATGAGCAAGACAGAAGTTTTTAAGGTACAAGTTAAGTTAGCCTTTATTTGCCTATTTCTGCGAAAAGATATAGCTATTCAATAACGAAATTCAAGTATCAATGGTTTGTGGTGATAATTGATTCCTTTGAAGATAATTTTCAAGTGAAAGATCTACTAGAAATACAGAATCAAATGAGAATGTAACTGTTTGTATGTCTAACGATAAAAATATCTGTAAGGGTGTGGATGTGGGTGTGGGTGCGAGGGTGTGTGGGTGTGGGTGCGAGGGTGTGTGGGTGTGGGTGCGAGGGTGTGTGGGTGTGGGTGCGAGGGTGTGTGGGTGTGTGCGTGTGGGTCAGCTTGTGGATGTGCTGTGCGAAAAGGCTTATACCAATATCCACACGCACACACATCAACACCAACACCCACACCCAAAAAGACGATCATATCTTCATTTATGTGTACCTGAAGTGACAAACACAGAGTGGAGAAAAACATACTATTATATAATCTCTTCCCAATTCGGCAATAACACAGTTAAAATACAGTAGATCAAACGATAAGAAAATGAAACACCGAAACAGAGATGGATAAGAAAGAAGGAAGAAAAAGATGAACGATAGTCATAAAAGAGACATTTTTTTTCGAGTAAATGAATCATTCGCGGAGCTGTTATAAAAAAAAACTCGGGCACGTTTATTCTGTTTCATTTTTTTTTCGTTCAATAACAACTTTCTTGTATGCGCTTACGTAAGTATGTACTTCTTGCTGGACGTTTTCTGGATTACTATTCTACTCTACTCTTCAAAGTAGAATTAATTAAGTGTTAAAAAGTGTTTTTTCAGTCGGGTTAACAGAAACTACATCATTTACGTAAAAAAGCTTCACCAACATATTCTAATAATTATTGTTCGAAATCGGTTGTCAGCATTTCCATTTATCTAGTGTATTACGATCCTTCTACTGAAAAGACGATTCCTTTAAAAGTTGGTGGTTATATCGATATAGCTGTAGTGAAAGCATTGATACAAGACAAGGAAGAAACTCCTCGTAATGACCAACGTTTATTATTTGCTGGACGACTACTGGAAGACGGCAGGACTCTTTCAGACTATAATATACAAAAGGACGTTGTACTTTATATGCCCGTACGGTTACGTGGTAGAATGTATCATTTTACCAGTGGTCGAGTAGATTTTGATAATTTGCGAAAAACAGAAATCGAAACAATAAAAATGTTCTTGCATTTAATTTTAAACATAAAAATCATCCTGCACGTTTATCACCTTTGGAACTGCAAAGTTCTGTTTTACAAGGACAACTTCTTCTTTCAAAATTATTTAATGAAATCAAATATGTCTATGCATCTGATGATGTTTTACATTTAAAAAATATTATCTTACCGAATGTTGCTGATGATGAAGTTGAAAATGAGGATGAAGAAGAAGAAGATGGTGATATTTCAAATGAACAATGACAAATAACTCTTCAAGAATAAGTACGAATATTTCGATTATTAGAACATAATGTACTTAAAGATTTACTTATTGAAGAAGAACAAATAAGACTTAGTCAAGAAACTCAACAATTATTGTCAAGTATTGAAGATTGGAAAGATATCGATTGGATGGATGTCATAGCTGATTTACAAGCGAAATTAATTAAAGAAGCAATTGGTGAAGATGAAATTCAATGCGGTTTGAAGTAAATATTTTGTCTCATTGATTAAATAAAGCTTCTTGCTAAAGCTATGATCAGAGACGCATTATAATATTTCTTATTTGTCTTAAGCTGAGATTGATAAATGGTTTCATCTGGTATTAGTATTGTTTTTCTGCTCATCATTTCACAGAATGTGAATAACAGATTTTTATATTGAAAAAGCCAAAATTTTTATTTTCAAACAAGTATTGAATAGTGAACAGTCATGTATCTACTTCGATTTTTGAAAATTGAAATCGATCAATAATTTGTTTCTATATTCAAAAGTCTTATATCACTTTCGATTAAAAATAATGATTGTGCAGATTTAATAGAAGATGTGACTTTATGTGTGAATATTTTATTTATATTCTAGAATATTCCGCAGTGCTCATTAATTATATTCAAATGATAATGATTTTCATGATTTATCTCTGTATGCTCGACATAATCGTGCAAAGCAAAGAAATCTTAGGATTGGTGATTCAGCAGTTGATATTCAATTATTAAACGTGAACAGTGAATTCATTTCATTATTATCTTATTTTCATTCCAATCGACTATTATTAATTATTGCTGGTTCATATACTTGACCATCACTTCGTGGTCTTGTACCACAACTTAATCAATTATTGGATTTTTATCAAGATCGTGTTGATATGATAATTGTTTATATTGAAGAAGCTCATGCACTTGATGAATGGTAAGATAACGAGAAAAAATATTTTGATTTTAGAGATGATTTTTAAATTGAATGAAATAGGCCAATTTATAGTCGAATATGTTATGTTCAACCAAAATGCGATGATGATCGAATTCGTATTGCAAATGATTTTATCAAAGTAACAGACTATCGAATTCCATTATTAATTGATCCAGTATGAAAAAATAATCCATTTAGTCAAGTTTATAATCCATGGGCAATTCGATTTTATATTATTGATCGTATGAAAAAGTTAAGTTATATTGCTCAACCGATTCAAGATTCATTTTCATTAGGATTGATTAAAAATGCTTTGAATGATTTATTCAAAATTGCTAAAAGAAAGTTTGTTTTTGTATTTGAGGAATGATGATGATTATTATGTGTTATCGTGATATATGAAAGTTCAAAAATGATATTTTTCGTTAAAAGCATAATTATAATGCAGACGAAAAATTGATGTATGGCATTCTTTTATTTATTACAATGATACCAATCATTGATTCTCGATAAATTTTATTCATGTTCTGTTCTCTTTTAAAGTCAAGATAAATAAAAATTTTGTGAAACATATAAATGTAGCTTTCGTTATATTTTCAATGATTACCACAAGATGAAATAGAATTAAATTCATTCTGTTCTGAAGGATAATAAAAAAATGATTTATAATCACTATTCGAATAAGAGTTAGTTTTTCTAGTAACCACTAATGTAATAATAATACAATTTCTGCATATTCGAAAAATAATGTCAATTCTAGTTCGAATCTGAGGAATTAATAAGAATGTTCTCTGTTCTATAGAATAATGTATGTTTTATTTTTAAGAACAGAATTCTAAGTAAAGAAAATTATTGTCATTTTACTAACATATTGTTCTTAAGATGAAATAAAGTTTTTGCAAACAGTTCATTTCTCAAAAGTGAACTTTTGAAACAATATAAAAAGATCTTATGGTAGTAAAAAGCACGCGGTGTCTATTGAAGTCATTTGCTCATCAATAGCAATAGTCATAACAAGAAAATTTGATTCGTTTAGGAGACTTTGTATTTTCATATAATCATCATTCATATCATTCAACAAGTGCTTCAACTATCATAGAAAAATTTCAAATGATAAATAAATATAAATAAGTATATCTTCTTCGCTGCATATATTTCAATGTTTATTCCTTTAGCAATTGCTGTGCTTTTTGTTTTCTGGTAATCATTATTATTTGTGATAATTCGAAACGAAATCATTTATCAATGATATCGTTTATTATTTCTACTTGTTCTAAGAGTAATTTTCTATGTATTGTACAGAAAGATTTTCATAAGCAACAATTTTCATTTGAGTCATATACTACCGATACATAACAAGATAGTTTATTCTTCATATACAAAAGTTTATTTAATCATCGAATTTTTCTATGAATTGAAATAATCATCTTGAAAGAATGTACTAATGATTTCTGTTTTTTGTTGGTTGATAAAGCATATTAACACAACAAACATTAAATCCAAGTGTATTGCTCAACATAGATGATTAGAAATATTTGATAGATAACTATTTGTTTGTGGCATAGGGTGTGAATGTGCGTGTCGATGAGGGTGGAACTCAAAAGAACACACACCACTCACACCCACACCCTTTTTCATTGTTACTTTTCAACAACATGTATTCTATGTAATGTTACAAATAAAATTGTCAAGTACCGATTTGTCTTTAGATCTTTTATATATAATAAATGACAAATTATTATCAACTATTTCTTGGAGTTTTAGCGTTTCCATTCAACATACTTGTTGACCTGTATCGTCTTTTTGGATACACTTTATTTATTTAGTTTAACTACATATGAAATAAGAACAAAACACAGCGTTCAAATCGTTACTCACCACCATACATTTAAAGAATGATCGTTATATTCAAATGTATAGCCACCATGTAATATTTTGTTATGACCATTCATCGTTCGTAACTTTTCGACCATTTCGTCAGTGATATTCCAAATGAACAATGAGAACAGATGAGAACTGCTGTTGATATACTTTGACAATATAATTTGTGCAATATATTCAAGACTGTCTTCATCGATCTGTATTTCGAGATATTGTATGCGAGGGCAGAGATTAATGAGAAATTTAAGATCTTCGAGTGTATTATTATGTGCACCGCCAATGATCACTTTTGTTATTTTGTTCTGAGACACCAAATGAGCAATTTGAACTTCTTGTGTAGCAGATCGAGTACTTAGGTGTTTTAGTGGACGATAATGTGGATCAAATGATTCGAGATTAGGCATACAACATAGGATTTTGATCAGCATGTCAGTGTCGAGATTGAAATATGAAATACATAATCGACGGATCTGTGCCAAAGGAATACAATGATTAAGATCAGTAATGAACTGATCTTTATTTTCAGAGTAAGGGTACTCAAAACTGAGCGATGTAGCACGTGAAAATTGGATTGAACAATTTGGAATTAGGTGACGAGCTTCAATACAAATATTTTGAGCCAAATTGAGACCGGTCTCACAACATGAACATATGTCTCGGTCTGTACGTTCGAAAATATAATATTGCTTTTTCCTAAATAAAGAAAGATAAACATTATAATCTGAAAACATTTTATCTGCACCTGTATGGTTGAGTCGAATAGAATTTCATACGACCATACTGCGAACAATGTTGATGCGCAAAAAACCATTGTCGTTCAATCCAAAATGATGAAACAAATTGATTAATTATTGCATGATATACTTGGATATTTTCAACATTTTCAATCCGCATCAAATGTTCAAAATCAAATATAGATAAATGATACATGTAATGTGAAATTAGTCGTTGCCATCGACTAGCATCTAGGTAAGCAATGTTAGATCTTGTAGAGATACGCAACATTTTTAATTGAGAACAGATTTTGATAATGAATAATTCAAATTCATCAAACGATAAAAGACAATGTTTGATTGATAAATGCGTTAAATAAAGCGGTATTGTTGAGACTACTATTTGGCTACTTTCGAATGAGGATATATATTCACATGAGAAATAACGAAGTCGAGGAGTACATGAAAGAATAGCACTGAACTGATGAATATGACAATAGCCATCGATGATGAGATGTTCAATAGAGCTGTATTTTTGTTGGTCATTATCAGTAATTGATAAGTTAGGAGACGTACCACAGATTCCAAATAAAAATTTACCATATTTCAATATGGGTAGACGAAAAATTAGTTGATATAAATAACCTGCATCTTCCGCAGGCTCACCATCGCCAGCAGAGATTGATAATGAGAAGAGACGAGGTAATAAGGCTAAACAAGTTAGAACCCTAACGAGTTTATATACATGTAAGTTGTTGAGGATTAATGACTCGAGCCGAATGAAAGACGAATCGAAAGTGAACAATGTGAAAAAGAGACTATTGCTCAAATAATGTGACAAACGAAGTGACACNACTAGCTACAAAACCAGGCATTTGAGAAACCCCCAAACTGCTGGTCATCTGAGACATATCTAGGTAATTTGGTTTCTAGATGCAGTTTTTGTGTATTTTGAGACCTTTTTCAGTCAATGTTTCGTTAGAAAACTACGATTTTTTTCAAAACTAATATCAGATTCAGAATCAGCGTTAAAAACTGAGTCGATTTATATATGTTGTGGATAATTCTGAGAAATTTGTTTTTTTTTTCAAAAATCCCTGTACTCCCCCTCAGGGATGGTCTGATCAAAAATGACAATTTTTTCGATAACTCAGCCATTTCTTGACGGATCCTTCTCATCTTCGAACTCGACCTAGATATTGATGAGACAATTCTGTGCACAAAATTTCAGCTCAATCGAATGTAATTGTGAAGAGTTATCGAATAAACGGACGGACGGCCGGACACACTGACCGATTTTAGTAGTGTACTCACTTTTTGAGTACACAAAAATCGTCGAAAAATATTAGCTATTAGTGATTAGTTTGTTTTGTTTTGTTTTTGAAAAATCGTCTTTTTTTTGTAATAAGTTAAGGAATTGAAAATCTTGATTTTAACTCGAAAAGAAAATAATTGACTACAAGGTTGTTGACACGAAGATAAATTTTATGGACATTCATTTTTTATGAACTTAAGCATTGCGATTTCAATCCTTTATAGTAAATGAAAGATTTTATTTATGATCTTCCACTTCGTCTCGTGAGTAATTGTGGTTATCAAAAAGTTCAATGTGCCTTTCATGATAAGAAAACTAATATTCTAATTTGTTTTATTAGACGAAAGATATACAAAATATTGAAGTTCAAGAATATTACAAATATTAAAACTTCAAAACTTATGCAGTCGATTGTTATGTTCCTTATCTTAATAACGAGCAAAGCATACTAATTAATGTCATTTTAAATTCTCGATTATTAAATAAGCCCTGTCACTATGCACATTAAAATGGTATGTTTTAATGAATTTCTTCATGTCCCGCTCCAAGTTATATGTAATTCTGTCAGTATTCACATTTTTATTTAACGAATTTACTTCGAAAAATTCCATTCAAATGGTTCGATACTTTACTTTACCTATCACTACAAAATGCTTCTATATATACAGCTATCCTTTTTTTTATATAGGACATCAAATAATATAAAATTGTTGCGCGAAGAATATGTTCAAATAGCGATTGATAATAAGTATGTTTCCACAAGAAAAATCGGTGACCGGACAATTCGTTGCAGAACAATTCGTCACATGGACAATTCGTCGCAATGAGATAATCTAATCATAGTTTATATTTTTTTTTCAACAATGAAACGACTTATTCAATTAAGTTTGAAGCATGTAATCTAAAGACTATACGAATTATTGAAAATATTACTCATATCAAAATTCCGCTTTTTTGATCTCGAGATGAGCCACTAAAAAGAATCCTACAAAGAAAACAAATCGGACCTTTTTTCTACTTCATAATTAATGTCAATAGCATGAAAAAAATACTCGATTACGAGGTCTCAGCAAAACTATTTCTGGAATTGTATAAATCATCAATCAAAATTGACTAGTTTAGGTTTAAATATATAAAGTAATAGACGATGGTTGCTAAAGTAGCACAATTTGTACATCGCATACGATGATTAAAATACAGAAATTCAATAGAAGTTGCTTTTTTCTGATGATGTCAACACTGCTTCTCTTCAGAAAATGCTAAACTTCGCTAATTCTTTAAAAGTATCGTCTCATTGTCAGAAGCTTTGAGCTGTACTGCGAATAAAAAAAGACGCAATGTTCGTCTCTGATATAGAAAAACTTTCTTCACTGGTATAGCTCAGATAAGTTAATTTTTTATCCACAAAACAAGATTAGCGCACTTTTCGAGATTAAAAATCGGAGTTTCGGTATCAGTAATATTTTCAATAATTTTTATAGTCATTAGATTACATGTTTCAAACTTAATTGAATAAGTCGCTTCATTGTTGAAAACAATGTATAAACTATGATTGGATTATATCATTGCAACGAATTGTCTTGGAACGAATTGTCCATGCAACGAATTGTCGTGCAACGAATTGTTCTAGCACCGAAAAATCGACTAAACTAGGATTCAGCTCAGATTTTGATCTCAATCGATTTCATAACCCAACTTTTTTGGACTTGATAGACTGTCTTAGTCACTGTCACATAAGTATTGTACTAGGTGAAAATTGTGGATCTGATAAAGCTAGTGATATCAAACAATGTTTGTAAGCATCATGATTACAATAATTTTTTTTGCAGAGGCAAATAGAGCAATATGTTAGATGCGCTTATATATTTTTGTCACAAAATAAATAGAAGGGTTTAAAATAGTGCAGATGCAACAAAAATAGAGATATTAATAAGAGAAGGAAAAAGGTGAAAAATAATTGAACAAAGGATAAAACCGGCCTGCCGGTAATGAAAACTATTTATTAGATGATGTTGTTGGTTGCCCATTAACAAGTGTTGGTAAATCTAAAACTGGTGTTGGTGAACGTCGACGTGCTGAACTTGGTACACCAGCATAACTTTCACGCCTCATTTTAACAATTCCTTGTGTTGTTACATCTGTAAATGCTTTTGATGGCATTTCCTTTTTAACCGTTTCTGATGTTTTTTTAGCGTTTGATGCTCGTTTAATACGTTCAGCAACACTTGGACCACCTAATGGATTTGAAGTTTTTGATTGTGGCATACGTTCATTAACTTGATCAAGTATTTTCACTTTTGAAAAACGTTCTTTTGTTGATTTTGGATTTTCACGAAGTATTGAAGCTGCAGCTTCAGCTTCATTTGTTATGTCTTTATCTAGTTCTGTAAGACTAGTTGATGGTGTTAAACCACGTAATGTAACAACATTTTCACTTAATTCACGTAATGTTTGATAAGTTTTAGCAACTTTACCAACAGCACGTATTTTTGAACGTATTTGTTCTTTACGTTGTTCAATTTGATTACGTTCAATTAATGAATCAATATGTTCATCATATACAGCTAATTCTTCATCTGTACATATACTAAGAATTTTAAATAGAAGATCATTTATTTTTTCACCAACAAATGGTAATGACCATGTAAATATATTCATAAAATTTGGTAACCAATATGGATGTGGTGAACAATTAAATTGTCGAATATTAACAATATTATTTTCATATTTCATAATAGCTGCTTTATTTTGATACACATCACAGTAATTTGGTGCTGAGAATATTGTTATTAATGATGGAAAACCAGTATCAGGCGATTTTTTATACATACGATAACCAATATCTTGTGCTTCATGAGCACGAATTACTGACAGTATCTGATTACGTATTAAAAATTCATTAACAGCAGCATATGTATAAAAATAAGAACAGCCACGTGTTGCATTCGGTAGATATAATGATGTTGATGAAACATTTGTTGCTGTTGGCGACGGTGCTGGAGCACTTAGACGACGTGTTGCAACTAATGTTAGTGATCCACTCTCATTTCCATAATCTTCAGCTGGATCAGACCATAGTAAATCACACATAACACCATGGGCTGGTGGCTCATGAAATCGATCCACCTATAAAAATAAAACAAGATTGAATTTTTCGAGATTCTTATTCAAATGAAAAGTCGTTACAGTCCGAATTTTGATGCTAGATGAATGTATGGGTGTTCTGGTTTACTTGTGAACTATACTCCGGAGTCAGTTGGTATGCGGATGGTCAAGTTGTATGATGCCTTCAAGCAAGTGAATAAAAAGTCTGCATCAAATCAGTCTTATGTGGAGAACTATATACGACCTTTAGACTCGATGAAAATATATAGAATGGATTACTATATTATCAAAAACAACTGTACGGTACTAGAATATATTGATGATGCATATAAAAAGTATTGCAAATGATAACTTTTCCTGCTGATTAGAAGTTATAATGTATGAAAATAAATTTCATAAATTTTCTGAAGTCTCCTATGCATTTGAACACATCATTAAAAAAACAGCTGTTAGGGTAATTTTTATGAGATTAAAATGTGAAAAACCATGCAGCTACTCTTGCTGATTCATAGAAAGATTGTTTTATTCTATCTATTTTGAGACGCATTTCTTCATTATCCTTTTTAATTAATCTTTCAGAAATGTAACCATAAGGTGGTTCACACATGCTAACGAGGCATTATTGAGAATATTGCCAAGGTATCTGTCACGATCTGTAATGAAGGAGATACGTTATTACGAATGTCTGTCACATCTGTGATATCCCATTCCTAAGATGTCAGTCATGTCTGTGATGAGCCGTTTCTAACACATCTGTCACGGTCTATAATATTTCCATGGTTATGTCTGGCATGGTCTGTAACAGAACGAAGGGAGAAGAAGACAGATTAACCAAATGTGCGACGTTATATTTACCTTTTTAATATCATCTAATGTATGAATTTCCGGTGAAAGACCACCATGTACACATAAAAATTGGTTATTCATAACAGCAGCCAATGGAAGACAATCAAATGCTATCATACAAGCGTCATAAATTTTTTCTGTATATTTTATAAGACATTCTTGTCGAAAACTAAATCAAAATCAAAATTTTTTTTTTGTAAGTATTAAAAAAAAAACAAGGAAATTTTCTTACGTAAAATAATCAGTCAAATGTCGACATTCATGATTTCCTCGCAGTAAAAAGAATGTTTTAGGATAATGAATTTTCAATGACCATAAATAGAGTACACTGAATAACAAAAAAAGACTCATCTTCAAATGAAATGAAAGAAAAATAATACAAAACCATTCTATTCCAAAATAGCCTCGATCAACATAATCACCAAGAAATAAATAACGAGTTGTAGCTGGAGGGCCACCTACTTCGAACAATCTATCAGTAGAAAGAAAAAAGAAACATTTGATAATTATCTAAAATAACCTTCACTAACTTCACTAAATCATATAATTGTCCGTGAATATCACCACAGATAGTCAATGGTGCATCAATATATAACAATGTTGGTTCTTCACGTAGTAGAACAGCACCTATATAAATCAATGAAAATTATTTTGAACAATAAATATGACATCTCATGAATAAGATACGATCAATTTTAATAAAAATTTTTAACTCTAATTAATAATTTGTTTGGTACTATAGTCTCACATGTTGGAGACCTTAAGATATATGAATAACAGTGAATAATGCTCTTATACGGGTTTTTCAAACAAGAAGAACTTGATGACAAATGCCTTGACATTACCGTAAGAATATTTGACTTATCGTAATGAATTTTCTTGACGACGTAATAGTAAACATTTGAGAAACGCATAGATTAGTTTTGCTCATATCTATATAGATCTGAAAGCTTGAATGCATAAAATTTATTCGTTCTATCTTGTCTCTGATATAAAGATGATAGATAAACGAAGAATAATTACATCAACATGGTTGATATATTGAAACTACGTAGTTGACTACTTTAAAGACATCATGAAGTAACAAAAAAAGTCAGTATTACAATATATTTACCGGTTTCAATTATCCGGAGTGCAACCTTTTCAGTAAGACGACCTTCAAGTATAATATGTTGTTTAAGTTTTTCTAAATTAGGTTTATCCTTCGGATCAGATGCATTAGAAAACAAATCTCCAATATCTAGAACACGTGATGGTGGTGCAGGAATTGTTTTACAATTCCTTTCTATTGTACTAAGCTTTGGTGATGTTGTCGATGAAGACGATGCTGGTGTATCGTCACGAGATTTCTTAGTACTTGTCATTGAGTAAATTTTATTTTCATTATTCTAGAAAGATAAAATCAATAAAAATTCATTTGAATGCCATTATAATATGCATCAATGCGTTGTCTTTTTCTCACCTGTCTGAACACTAATGTTTTAAACAGATGAGACGATGAAAAACTGCTGAGATAAGATTAAAGTGTGTTACCATACATTACATCTAAGAATCAAGTTATATACGTAGGTTTGCCTGTTATATAGTACGTATATATGTCTCTGCGCATTGACGATATGTAAAAAAAAAAAAAAAAAGAAGAGGAAGAGAATACAAATCTATCGCTAATGTTGTCTATCTCGTTATTTGAGTTATGTTACTGAGAACGAGAATGGGTGGGATGTCGCTTAGTAGAAAAGGAAACAGAACACATAATTATGCATAGTTACGTACATAGATATATATAGATGTATATTCGTTTCCTTCTACATTCCGGATTATTTCTCTTCAATTGTTTGACATAATGTGCGCAAAAGGATATGATAATAGAATACATAACTCTCTGACCGTAATGCCTATGATTCATTGTTTGTTTCTCGTTTATTGTAAAAAGATTGATTAGTAAATTCATACAAGCGTAGGTTTTTTCTACTCTTTTTCTTTGTATTACTGCACACTCTTTTGACTGAAAATTTTTCACTGAAACAATTGATATATACGTGAAAGATAAAAGAACCATCATACAATAACACACTAAACAGAAAAACAACGTATGCTATATTAGCATGAATTTATGTGCCCGTATCTGAGAAAATACATATTGACAGAATGAGACTCAACTACTTTTTCTTTCTCTATACAAATATGCGCCTCAAGGATAGAAATGTCTTATAGAAAAAAACTATATGTGGAAGGCATTATATTGCAGAACCTTATATCATATTAGTTGTTATTAAATAATCACAAAATTTATAAAATAGTAAGCATAACGATCTTCAGTCTGAAAAATCTTTTCAAATAATTGAATAAATAAATAAAAGAACGAAACATGTAAGCATTTTTGTTTTCACAGTCGTATTCAATCGAATGGATAGTTATTGTTTATAATATCAAAAAATAAATTAGGATGTAATTTAATATTATACAAATTAGCAAGTCGAAAAGTGCTTCTGAAAATATAAGATACATGAAAAATCGATAATATTATATGAATTAAAAATCTACTAATAGAAATGATTATTAATTTAATTGTAAGAACAGAAAAGTATGCCTTTAAATTTTTTAAACATGAATGCTAAATCAACGAAATAATAATTTTGATGATTACAAGAAAACATTTACGTTAGATGTTATTGATTATTGTTGACCTGTAATCAAAACATCATGGCAGCCATTAATTGATTTTTATGATGCGTAAATTCAATTTAAGAAATAAGGAAACAGAATAGTTTTTTGTTCTATGAGAGAAATTAATAATGGACTTTGAATACTTCATATTTTATCAACGATACAATAGAAACTACATTGTATTGAAATTTTAGATTATAAATATTTCTATTTCAAAGTCAAAACAAAATTTTTTGATTTCATATAGTGAGCTTTTTTAATTCAGTCAAGGAATTTTAGATACGAAAAATATTTTAGCAAAATAGCTGTTCGTAAACGTCATTGAATAAGATAATTCACATTTATTTTTTTCTAAAATCTTATTCATCAAAATACTCTGCCTTAGTATTTACAAGAGTTTAGAAACTAATCCACTTTCTAACAAAATTTAATAAGCCAATTATTCATCTTATTAAATTATTTAACATAAAAAACAATTCAGATGCATTTATATTAGTTACAGCAATAAAAATATCAGAAAATTATTTTTTATTAAGAATTTTAGTATTACATGGTATGGAAAAGTGACATGAAAGAAAGTAACATAATTCCCAATAGAATCTTATACTTTCTTTTTTTTTTTATTCGTAACAACAACAATTTGAAGCTAATTGTATGACAGCGTCAAATATAAGTGTCTATGATAAAACTGTATTTAAAATTCGAACTCAGACCATTTAGATTTATAATAATTCTATTAGATTAAAATATAAAAATAAACTGTCAATCATGCTGTTCATATTTTGGGTGTTGCCATAAGAACTTGAGGATGAAGTGTAGAAGTCTAAAAAAAAATCGAAATCATTTAACGTTACTTGCTCTCATTTTTTTTTTCTTGTCGAAAGTTGTAACAAAAAACAAAGTTTTTGGAGTCCATATATAAATTTAAATTGCTATAATATTCTTTAGTTTGGTGACATAAATATCGCATTTTTTCATAGAAAAACATGTCATTAGTCGAAACTAATAAAACGTAAGTCAAATAATTTGTAGTTTACTGATTTTTTTTTAAATATATTTCTTAGCTGTTTTATTTCTGACTTTGTACCTAAACAAATCTATCTAAACAGATGAATAATTGGTCGTCAATATTCTTATATCTGGAAATCAATCAAAAAACCAATTGAGCATTATCATTTAACTTTGTGAAAGAATATTTTTCAGCCTATTTACATTCTTCTTTCATAAGATAAATGTTATATTTTCTTTTTACAGACATAATAAATTATATCAGTACGTATATATTCAAATTACTCTTTCTACTTAAAATGTAATAATAATTCAATATTCTTAGAAGTAATTCATTCTATTGATGAGATTTCTTTGCTTTCTCATTTTCTTTAGTCTAATCAATTATTGTGACATCGGAATAGGAATAATAGTCCATTCTCTGACAGAAACTTCATTTATCAACTTTGTCACATGTATTTTGCTTAGCTGTTTTATTCAATACAAAGCAATTCTTCTAGTTGAGACATAAAAAAACATAGAGAACATTCTTACAGAATGTATGCCAACATTTGTATATCTCGATGACATAACATAGTGACCATGGTCTTATTTACACTCTCAAAAAAATAGAATTTTCTGTGTATACACGTAGATGTAAAAATCATTGAGCATTTCTTCGTTGCATCTTCCAGATTATTTTTAAGTAGTTGAAATCGAGAATGATCTGTAGATAACAAAATATTGATCAATAGCAACAACACGTTGATAAAATGAAAGTGCTTTTTGTTACGCATCCATATTACAAAACACTACTCTAATGTTATTTAAGAGTTTTATCATAGAACGAAGATTTGGAGAAAAAGCTCTTTTGAAGGAGTTCACGTGGTTTGTCATAAGAAAGTGTCGAGAAAAAGTTTTTTTTTTGCGGATCTTAGGTATTTTTTTTTATGATGTAAAAGTGTTATCAAGTATTTGTGTATCTTCTTAAACACCAAACCGATATCATTGAAGCTTTTTCCGAATTTTAACTCATCTTGAAGAAGGCAATCTTCTTATATTCGAAGAGCTTTTCCCAAGTTCACTGTTGTACATATTCTATTTGTTTATACTCGACGTATCCGATGACGATAAAAAAAAATCATATTTTCATATAATCTTCGATCGACTGACAGAGTCATATTTAGTAAGATTCGTGTGCTTAATCAAAGTTATGTAGATTAAACAATAATTGATTTAAATGGTCTTATCTTTACGACTCCTTTCGTATGCGTTCAGTTAAAGGATGTACTTATGAATCATTGCCACTTGTCAGCGCCAAACGTACTTGCTAGTGGCAATGATTAGCGTTGATTTTTTTTATTTATTCAGTACAAACCATAGAATACAAGGATTAAGAGAATGTCTAATTTCGCCTGGTTGAAATTGACACCATCGATGTTGGCGAAAGTTGTCGAAAGTATTGAAGAATTGATAATCATTATAAACGGCATACCCATCAAATTATTAATTTCAACTGTTTCACGAGTGAACTTCAAGATCGAGTGTCAATTTTTACTGATGGATTAAAAGTCTTTAAACCACTGTGAACCTCATAAATCAATGACAGTATGAGCTAGAGAGTTGTACTTTGGTGCGGGTATGGAACAATCAGAGAGTAGCATATAAAATAAACTTGTTCATATCGATCGAGGAAAATGAAGTTTATTATCCTAATAAAGCTAGAATCTCAATTGTACCACAAAGTTACGATACACTCGAATATCGTATTAACCTATAGCATGTTATTTTGTGACAGGAATAGTTTTTTGCTCGAATTCACTAGAAGACACAACAAGCACTTTAGCTGCTCTGATTTCATTGATTAAGTCTATAAATTCATCGACGTCTATGAATGTATGGACAGTATTGCTGACTGATCATAATTTTGTAATAGAAATTACGGCAACCATCGTCGGTGACTTCAAAATACTCGAATTTTGATTAATTTTCGTTGGTTTGTCTCTTTATTGTTGTCATGCACTTTTTTTCAAGTGTCCCATTATGGTGCTGCTGCATGTGATATCGAGAAACACATAAAAGATCAACAAAGAAATTTTTACGTATATGCATTTAAAAAATTTTTCGTGTCGAAATGCATCTGAATCTCGCAGTTGTTATACGTTCGTCACGAGAAGGGCGAAGATATTTCAACGTGTTCCAGATCAATTTTTTAAGTTCAACAGAAAAAAAAACTCAATTCATCTTAATTCGAACTGAGGTATCAACGACTCAATTCAAACTAGAATATGCGAACAATCAATCAGAAGTCGTGTATATATACCACTTAGTTATACAAACTTGAAATTTTGTCTTGTTCAAAAAGAAATATATTTGAATTGTAACTAGATAAGATTTATATGAACTTGGTTTCTACGACATTCATGTAGAAGAAGCTATATCTCTCTTCATGAACCAATGATGTTACTTCGATTATTTTAATTTTGAATAAATGAGAGGTACATTAAAATTCAACATAATTCGTTTTATTAAAATTGATAATATAGTCAAGTAGATCACTAAGTACTCTAAGTATTAATTTGTACGTTAGATTATTCGTTTTAAATGAATTGAAAAAAATGAATAGTATGATTTGATCAATATTAAAAACTATTAGTTTGCTTCTCAAAACTTGTTTATTTTTGTTTCGACAACACTATTTTTGCTTATATAGTCAAAAATCAAATATGATCACTTGTTATTGATATTAGTGAGAATAAAACATTAATTTCATCAAAATATGTCAGTAGAATTGTATTTAAACGTATCTTTATTATGTTTACCAATTTACACAATTGAAATTTCGGCCCATCTTCCATATGGTATCAAGGATTATTATTTGACATCGTATCTCCAACTGTTCTTTTTCCAACTCTATTAGAATTATATGTCAGTGCAACTTGCTTCATTGATTGTTTTTATTTGCATGATGGACGTTCCAAGCAACCTCATACACTTCATGTTAGTATTTATCGTATTTCCTTTACTACGTAGTTTAACAATCAATAATTGAGGCAGATTATTTCTAATTAATATCAAATTTATCGAAATAAATTCATTTTTATTCTCTGTTCTAGAAACAGCCACCCAATCTAAGATGTTTTTTCGCTATATAGCGATACGCATACACATGTTTATGATGAATTAATTGTATACCACTTCCGCATCAAATGTTGAGTTTAAAAAAAAACTGGATTTACATCTTAGGATTGATCGTAATAGAAGATTTATTGATGAGAATGATTTAAAGAAAAATATTATCGATCATATGTCACGATTAAATAATTTTACATTTAATATTTTTTTATTCAATTGTCTTTCTAATCAAAATAATTTAGCGTCATATGAAGATTTTACAGATAATCAAATTATTTTTGTGTTGATCATTCTCAAGCTGGACATTATAGTTACTGTCATATTTTTTCATATCTATATAGTGAAATATTATGATAATATCACAAATAGTTTTCCAAGTGATTATATAAATATGTGTATAAAGTATCATTTTAATGATGAACGCCCATTTAAACATGACCGCTTTCTTCGAATTGCTCAATAATTTTCATTTATGAGCAAATTAATTGTAATTGATCAGAAATCGCAGAAGAACAAATTATATAGAGCATAAAAGAAAGATAATCAAGATTTATCAATTATTAAATGTCCTCAGTTTACGAAATTCAACTTTATACCAACTATGCGGGTGTAGGTATGGGTGTTGGTTTGAACACCGTTATAGTTGTAAGTATTGCCCTCTCTTTCAATACATCAAAGTCCACTCACAGTCACACCTCACATTGACATCTCCACCGTCTTACATGTAGATAGCCTCATTCGTCGTTATACTCATCCACACATTTCAACGAATATACCAACACGCATATGTGCACCCACATTCACATTCTTAAAAAAAAAAAATTTCCGTGGAATTTTGTAGGACACAAACTCAACGCAATTCTCTTTCGAAAAATTGGATTTTCTAAGAGAAGAGAGGATTTCTTTTATAGTGAATGTACAAGCACCCAATATAACTTTTATTTCGTGAAAAGTAAAAAAAAAAAACAAAATATATTCTAAGCACATGTTTACTTTACATTATGAAATTTTTTCAATGGTTTAATTAATTTCTTCTCAAAAACGGCTAATACATATGGCTTTACATATACTGATTTACAAACATCTCAGATGTGTATAAAAATTTTTAAAAATTTGACTAGACTTAAGCATTTCCTGAGCTAACTTGTCCCCCGACAGCCTACCTGTGGCACCGCCACTACTCGTAAGAATTGTACAGAACCTCGTAGGCGAGTTATGTGATCTGTGATGTGCAAGAACAATAGAAATAACATTCGAATTAAAACATCTGCACTTGAATGTTCGTTCGTATCAATGAGACACGCGCCGAGACAGATGCCGTCGAAAATGACAAGGATTTTTCTCTATAAAACGTCTACGGGACTTTTATTGTGCAAGCTGAGTAATTCACAACAAAAGTCTCATAGAGTCTCGTCGTTTTTTTTTCTAAAAAAGAATTCTTGTCTTTTTCAACGACATCTCTATCTCGGTAAATTCATAGTGCCAATCGTATTCACGCTATTCGAAAGCTTTGATAGTTTTAATGATCAGATACATATTGAACAGTCTCAATCGTTTTATATTCAACATGATGGAATGTAATATCATCAGATAGGTGAGTAGGAGTAATTGCAACATTCATTTGTTAGTTTTACTTATACGATCTCGAAAAAAATCGACGAAGTATGATTTAAAAAACAGGCGAAAAGAGGGTAACTGGTAGAAGTCTGAGGATGACATTCAATCAGTATTGACATTCTAATAACATAAAGAGTATCAAGAATTTGCTGATGACTTATGTCAAATACGATTTAGATTTTCGTTTTGTGGAAATTGGTTCCACATGCCGTAGTTAGTAATAAGACCACCTCTAATCAGAAAGAAAAATGAATCATTTTATTCTTGATCGAATTGAGTAGGCAATATTTTGAAGGTATTTTACATTGATAGAACAAATAGTACGAGTTTATGTTTGTCGATTTTCTTTTCTGTTCTTTTGCTAGGATTGATTTTAACAAGGACATAACCAATCATCCTTTTTTTCATTCCTTTTTCTCTTCATAGCATTCGTTGCTTTGCTTCATGTTCGTGCTCCACGTGATAATATATATTGTGTCAAGCGTTAGACGATCGTCAAGAAAGAACATATTTATGACAGCGAACATATGCAATTACGAATGCAATATTATTACGTATATTAATTAATAAAATTCAGCATTTCGTGTTCAAATATACGTATATTGCTACGCAATAAAACGAACGAATACTATCAACAATTTCACTAAATTCAATATTATCTAAATTGTCAACTTCATTTTTCTAAATACAAATTATCTTTATCTTGATTTATGGCACACCGAATACGTCGTGGTTCAATGGAACATTTAGAACTTTACGATTTAGATAAATTCACATTATTATCATCAAATCGTCAATTACGTCCACCTTTACCACCTCCACGTAAATATCGATGCCGTCTACCAGCAAAGCAAACTTTCGAACGTTATCGTTTTCTTTGTGATACGAAACGTCTTGCTACAGATCCGATTTATGCTGCTACGCCAATGTTTACAATAATACCACAATCAACACCAGTAAAACATCCTCGACGCTTACTTGGTGCTCGTGTGCCTTCAGATATTATTAAACCTCGATCGACTACATCTTCCGAATCTTCAGAGTCACAGGGTGCTGAAAGAAATAATAATACAAAAGAAGAAGAAAGTAACGATGATGATGATGATCATCAAAATGCCATTAATGATAATAGTAAGAAAAATGATAACGACAATGATAGTGAAAGTTCATCAGGCAGTAGAGATGATGATGGAATTGATGATATTATTAATAATGACGATGATAATTTCGATGATGATGATAATAATCAAGGAATCGTTGAATCAATCTTCAACCCGGATAAAAATACGTCATAATGTTATTGTAATTAACATTTAATGAATTATTATGAAATGATTTTTAATAGAATTTCGAAGTTTTCAAATTATTAATCGTCTCTCTTTCAATAAAGAAATATAAAAATGCTTGCATGATGTAATGTAATCTCTATCAAGTTACTTAGCAATGAGTTTACCAGAATTAGTACCTTTGAAATAAATACAATCAATTGAATTTTTACACGCATTCTATTCGTGTTAGTGAGGAAATTTGGTATTTCTACGTATCCATTTGTTTTTAATCATAAGGACGCACTTTTGAAAATACTTAAATATAAGAGAATTTATTTCATATTTAAATACGCTTATCTTTAGATATGATTCTAAATTAAGTATGAATATCTTCGTCGACTATAGTACAGAAAAAAATGATAGTCTATACAAAACACAATGTCGATTACTTTAACATATTGAAGTTGGATTAAACAGACATATTCCTGTGAAATAATCTTTCTGAGTACCGTTATCAATACCATTTTCTTTTCAATATGACGTATTAATGCATCGATTATAGGTTTTATTCTATAGAATTATCGCATTTCGATCATTGATAGTTGCTACCCATTATATAACTGTCTACTCATTTTTACTCGATAAAATCATTATTTAAATCACTTAGCTAGTGTCTCATATTAAGTTAATGTTTTCATCGAAAAGCATGATTATGCTGAAGAATATATTTATATTCATATAATGTTTCATTTGTCTTTCTTTTGTTGAACATTTATCTATCTAAAGTCTACTAGAAGCAACGATTACTAGCAACATTTGTCATAGATCAGAAAATGTTTATTGAATTCAGTTATAGAATACAAAACTCAACTTAGTCGTTCCTTCATAGACTTTCCGATTGAATTGAAACTCATATGACTCCTTATTGCATTTAGCTTGAACAACACTCGAACAATTAGTGCAATAAACAAATGAAAGAAAGAGGATAAACATCTTGTTGGTTAATCATCGTCATACAATCTTATTACGTACTCCAAATATTTAAATCCCATCGATAAAGCTACATAAATCAAGTTAGGATATTAATTGAAAGAATCCTACGTGATCATATTTGATCAAATATTCAATAAGTAATATAAGCCGTCATTGTGAAGCTTTTATTTTTACTTTTAGTCACAAAATCATTCTGATAACGTATGATCGAATGCACTAAATTGGATTATTATAAGAATCATTATGAACAGATCAGCTTGATATTTTTCTTTTCTCTGCTGACGTAAATAATACTTTTATCACAAAATGAGTGATGAAACAAGAAGTAGTAAAACTAGAGCATTATTAGCAAGCGAAATCATTATAACATAATGCTTCAAAGAATGTTTCTACGGAGTTCAATAGAACTATAGAGCATCGCAAGGATTTCTATGTTTTAGTGTAGAGATCATAGCAGAGAAGAGACAGCAGAGACTTCAGTCTTGAAGTCTCGTATGTCTTTTGTGAAATATGATCTCAAAGAAGGGTTGAATTATAGGGTAGAAATTGAAACACCCTCCTCTAGATGTGACAGATATTCTTAGTAACGTTGCTTCTTCATCATAGACCGTGGTATACATAACCAGAAAAACGTCAAAAGCCGTGACAGACTTCTTAGCAACGGTACACTTCTTCCAGCCGCCTCCCTCGCGCCACAGACTATGACAGTCGTTGTTGATAGATCATCACAGATTGCATATCAATAATATCTCGTTCTAAGATATAGACTACTCTCTCATTGCAATTTTGACGAATCAATTAAAATAATGGTGAAGAAATCTATTTGAAAATCGATAGGATAAAAAAAATCGCCTTGTGATTAGCAACAACAACTACATCCCGTTTCACATTTTAATGTTGCAAGAATTGCGCTAACAGCTTTTAATATGTGTTGAAGTCTCAAAAAGTCTCTTGAAGTCTTCTGAACTTCCGTGAAGTATAGTGTTTCCCTCTCAATGGTAGTATTGCACAAGCATTTCTAGAAATTTGAACAATCAAGAAACATTCAATACAGGACGCATAGTACAAATTCAAACTCAATCGTTTCTGCTGAAGATAAACTCTGCTCATAAGGCATTTGACACGAAACGATATCATTTTGAATACAAAAATTCGAAATGAAAAATTTAGTGTTTCCTTTCAAACAAGGAGAGCATTATGATGAAAAAGTCGACAGTTTAATACAAATCCTTGGTTTCTAAATAACCTGCTCCAGTACTAAATTTTAAAGTGATATAATGTTTCTTGATCATATAAAATAATAAATGGGGTATTATTGATTTATAAAGCATAATGATCAGTTTGAAATATTCAATCCACCCAAGATTCTCTAATATAATTGTGTCCGTTAAAGTTTTGACTTACTCGAAATAGTGTAGACTGATAATGCTGTTGTCGTCACCCCTGAGTCAATAATGATTATTTTGATCGAACACAGATGCATTGGAGCCTTGAGAAGCACACTTATTTTTATATACAAATTTGATAGTGACCTAAGTGAATAGTTCAAAGTGTTGTAATATGCCGACATAGAATTCAAGAATACATTTATCCGAACGACAAAGATGAGGGTGCGAAAATCGAATAATAAATATTATAATTATATCAGAGTCTGAAACCTTTGCATTCGAGCACTTGGTCCTGAAGATAAAGAAACATGAACATGAATTATGCCTACCATTAAAGAAAACTGCTTACAATCGTCGACGAGAACGCCGATTGCTCACATACTGTCGATCTTTTCTGCACTAATGATTTCTAATTTTAGCCCAAGTAGTAGCATTCAATAGAATAAAATATAGAATAAGTCATATCGTAATTTTCTTATGTTTATTGTGTTCGATCTACTATTACTTTTCGAATACACAGGGATGGATCAGGCGATTAGTACGACTGTCTAGATGAAGAGAAATATACTGGTACACATAAATGCAGTCATTGAGCCCAAATACCAACTTGAAGCGAGGAAAAAGGAAGTTTTAGAATCGCTATCTATTATAGATTGACGATCCTTCTTCTTCTTCTTCTTCTTCTTTTTCTTTTCTCTCTCTCTTCCACAGGGGGTCCCAAAAGTCCGGACGGAAAGTAAATTCGTAGAATTCCACTATTTATCAAACTTAATCAACCAATGTTTTTTTAGATGATAGACATCAGTGTGAAGTTTTTGTTTGTACGGACAAGCTTCACTAATACTGTTCAAAGTTATAACTTTCGTTTAAAACACCAAAATCAGTGCTTTTTCGACCCACTTCGCAGTGTCTCTCTTTCAATAACTCGATTTCTTGCTTTTTTTTTTACTTTTATATCGGCCACATCTTGCGCCATCGTTTATCTACATTTGTTGTGGTATGTCAGTGCAAAATAAGTCTAATAATATCAAGTTCTAAGATCTTGAAGTTCTTGAGATCGGCTTTACTCCTCCAGTTCATCAGTCATCATTCCAAAATTTAAAGCGATTTTATGAACCTTGTGATCTTGAAGTTTGACATTATTAGACTTATTTTGCACTGACATACCACAACAAATGCATATAAACAATGGCGCAAGATATGGGCGATATAAAAGTCACAAAAAAAGCAAGAAATCGAGTTATTGAAAAAGAGACACTGCGAATTGGGTCAAAAAAAGGACTGATTTTGGTGTTTTAAACGAAAGCTATAACTTTGAACAGTATTAGTGAAGCTTGTCCGTACAAACAAAAACTTCACACTGATATCTATCATCTAAAAAAAAATTGGTTGATTAAGTTTGATAAATAGTGGATTCTACGAATTTACTTTCCGTTCGGACTTTTGAGACACTCTGTACATATACAGTTAGTTGTTGTATTTGCTCTATCGAGGGTGGTGATCTATCTATATATGGTGAATCAAGGTCGATCCTTCTTTTTTCTTTTTGTTATTATTTTGTTTTTCCTTCTGTTTTGTGAAAGGCTTGGGTTCTTGTTATATTATTTAAATAAAAAAAATACGGAACCTAACAGGAAGTATGTTTCAACAAGTCCAAAAAATTTCCATTTACACTGTCTATCATTAGCATCTGTGCGAGTGCTCATTTAGGGATATCCCAATTTTGCTTTCTTTCTAAAACCTAAATAGTGCATCGAAGGAGTATGATATTTTTACCAGATGTAGTTCATATATAGAGCTAGTAAATATCTACCCTTTGAGTTCTATATCGTGAAAGAAGCTATGTGTCTCAAGTACTTTCGTTTACATCATATACCTCAATATATTTCGCTCAGATCTTGTTTCAATAATTCGATTCTGACTTCAAGCATATGAAATAAAATGAAATATTAGTGAACGAGTTTCATTAGCAAGAACTTAGTTTAAAAACTAGACAAATTTGTCAGTTAGTATTTTTTTCAATAGAAAAGTTTATCAAATTAAAATTATACAAAGCGCAAACAACATGTGTAATTGTCGTTATCTTCTCAAAGTTATCGATAGGTCCTCTATAGATTTGGCCCAAAATAGCATAACTTTTGATACGTTGGTTGATGATTTTAACAGCAGCTCTTGCACTGGAAATAGTTTTGTTGTAAAGTTTATCTGCCGTTGTCAATACATCTCCTCGAGATCTCTTTCTCGGATTAGTCATGCCTCCTTCACCGATATAATCCTTATTACCAATTATTTGAACATCTTTTTCGATATCCATTAATAATCCTGATTCTCTTAAAATTGTGAGACCTTGCACACTACCAGCGTAACACTTTGACACATGAATAATTTTATGATGAAAGTCACAGGTTATCTGTACTTTAAATCCATAATTTGTTGGACTTCTTTTATGATAATATTCTTTACGTTGTTCCAGATCATTAGGTTTGGGTATTGCGATAACAGTGGAATGAACTAATAGCTTATGGTAAAGTTGAGGTTCATGACTGGTACTTCTGCTAGCTATGCTCACTGGGGATGAGACAAAGATTGGATATATGCAGGAGTATAAAATGTCAATCACTCCGAATAAAAAATAATTTACCGTTG